AGCGAACCTCTCCTCTCTTGCATTCCGCCGCCACATTGTAGAGACTGTCCTCTTAGTAGCGGCTAATTAAAATGAAATACTGTAGAAGGAGAAGCGTGGATTTTATTCTGATAAATAGGAGGTCTCTTGCGATAGTCTCTTTTCTTATTAACCCATATGGGGTTAAATTAACCCCACGGCAATTTTAAAGCTAAAATTTGCTACGATTATAGGGAATGAAATGCAACAGAAGAAGAAGAAGTGTGGATTTTATACTAATAAATAGGAGATTAACCCTTTCTTTATTAACCCTTCGCGAACCATGTGTTAAATTAACCCCAGCGATTTTGAAGCTAAAATTTGTTAAATTAAACGAAATGAAATGCAATAGAAGGAAAAGCGTGGATTTTATTCTGATAAACAGGAGATTAACCCTCCGCGAACCATTCGGGGTTAAATTAACCCCAGCGATTGTGAAACTAAAATTTTTGTTTCACTTGCAGCTGTCCTTATCACAAAAACGAAGAAACGCCATTTGAAAGTGTATTTTTATTCAAATGATATATTTGTAGATAGATAATACTCGAAATAAATTAACCCCGCATGGTTCAATGCCTGACTGTTATTCACCTGGTTCTCTTAGGGTTAAAGGTAACAAGTAATAGTACGAGATTGCCTCAAAGATTAAAGGCTTTCACGACCCGCAGCGTAATTATTACTATTGAGGCTTTCGGTATAAGCCTCGGTAATAAGACAGATTACGAATAATAAAATGTCTGCGAGTGTTTAATCTAGTTGCTTCAACGAATACTGTTTGAATTAAAGCCATAGACGTGCAAAAGAAGACTGTTTTCGGACAGGGTACTTGAAAATACACAAAAACAGTGAACACAGGATGACCACCCAAAGGTTTTCCTGCACGTGGACTGAATATCGGTTAAGAATTTCTGTCCAGAGTGAAAAGAATAGAGAACGTGCGGGTGTTAGGATAAATGAGGGTGAAAGAGGTCACGTTAGTTATGGGCGTGTCGCGAGTTCGATTTCCGCTTGGTCCCCTAAAAATTTTCCCCAGCTTCTACAATTGGGGGCTCGTCCAGGATGCAGGCCCCGATCCCACATTAGTCACCCGAAGTTGAACGCTCGCTGTGTACTAAAGCCGACTACAGTCACCCAAGGTTGAACGCTCGCTGTATACTGAACGTGACTACAGTCACCTATCCTCGACCGCTTATCGTATCCTACCGTTTACTATACTTACTCGTACAAATTTCGAACGCAGCGTAGCTTGATATCTTCAGGGTGGCCGATTCGCTTCTGTCGAATATTTCTGTTTCAGTGACTTAAGAACTAAGAAACTTAAATCTAACGAACTTAGACAATAACGATATTTATGTTTCTTCCGTGAAGTGTCCTCTTGTGTCTTCTTTGCACCAACTCTACCGCAGCCAAAGGGTTAATTGCGTGGATCTTGATGCTTGCATGAATTTTTAGTCTATTTTTCGCGCAACTATGGAGGTTCTACTGTAGTACGATCTAAATTGCTATTTTTCTTTGCTATTATTGGGGTACACGTGTCTTCTGAGAGTAGTTTAGGATAGTTACTCTCGAGAGTACTCTCAAACTTTGCCTCCATGTCTCTGTCAGCACTCTCAATAGCGTTTAGACTGATAAATTTGACTCTCGAGAGCAACTCGCGATAGCTTTACTTTGAAATACACACGTGCCTTTAGATACTTCTGAAACTTCTCGTTTAAGGTCTGGATATCGTCACTTCCACTTCAACTTGTACCCTCGGTCCCTTTCAGCCGTATATTTACGTGACCTCCCCAAAAACAAGCGGATTAGCCAGCGCGTGAGGCTCAAGAGCCTCCGTCATAAATTACACCCTTCCCAAAAAACCTTGAAGAGTTCAAGGTGAGAATTTTCCCAGGCAAAATCGTCGCGTTCGTGATTAGAAACCTTAGGTTCCAAGGAAAAATGATTGCTTCCCGAAATTCCCAAAAGTAGCCATCAAAATTCCTGAAACCCACGCCGTCACAGCAGAACGCATTTTACTCGACGAGATTTACTAATTACGTTAATAAAGAAACATACCGATTCTTAATTCATCCAAAAATTCAATTTCTTCTCCTTCAAAGAAGAACGTCGATCTTTCTCGTTGCAGAACAACGTAAACACTTTAGTATCGTAAATCTTTTCACTAGAAACGACTAACGCAAACATCGAATCCTCGAAGAATCGCAAAACAACCCAAGAATCTGCCTACAAGACCCGCGATTCTGAAGAGGTGAGAGTGTTCCCGGTAAGCGGGCAACAGGAAAAAATCGTCGCTTTCGTGATTAGAAACATTAGTTCCCGGTAGGGAAGTTGATTCTTTCGAAAAATGATTCACCGTAGGTCTGAGAACAAACTGCAATCGGTAAAAAGTTTCCCGTGTCGCAACACAGTTGCTCGAGTTGAGAAAACACACGGCTGATATACCGTGATTAGCGAAAACTATCGCGGGGAAGGAACGGTTTCGCCTGGAGAGTCGTATATACACTTGAAATGAAAACAAGCTCGAAGAAATCCTGATCAAGGATTCCAGAGGACGTTCACACGTCTCGAGCATAATAAAACGAGTCTACAGCCCGAGCCAGGTTTAAACTCCATGGAGAACACACACACACACACACAGGCACAGAAAACACGTGAAACGTGTTCGCGACACAACTCTTCTATTCGCAGTTTGTTTGTAAATGTACCAAGTTTATTACATAACCGAGTTAAATATCGTTAGAATAAACCATACCTAACAACCTCGCGATAATTAGGTGAACCAGTCGATTAAACGAGATAATAACAAAACACTTTCCAACGTCTCGAGCGTGTTTCTCCTCTGCGAAAACAAGGAAAGAAAATCGACGAAATTCGTGATACATATTCTTAACCCTTCTGTCAATAACCAGAATTGTCGTCTACTTTATCGCCCAGTTTCAGCAGCTTTCTGATAACGAAAATGCCAAACAACAACGATCTGGCCGGATATTCAAATCTTTCACCGGGAAGATCAAATACTTTAAGTGAGAGAATGCGACATAAGGGTTAACCTGTTAAAAGAAGTTCAACATCTCTAATTTATCGTTGAAAACGAATAAGAATTACAACCAATCAACTTCCTCTTAATTCTTGCAAATGTGTGAATGTGACGTATTTTACATCAAATACAGGCACAGCGATACAGTTCCGCGTCTTAATAGGTCCCTCGGTGTTAATCTGACACAATGGTAAACAATGAATTAAACGGAAAGACGAATAACGAATTTCGTAAAATTCTTTTATTAAACATAGAAAATAAAGGAAAAATTTTTTTCAACAAACAGCCGAATAATACAACTTTTTCCCGGAAAAATGTGTGAAATTGACACGAGGGACGGATGAGGGTTAATAAATTATTGTGTTCCAAGTATCGGCTAACCAGTCAACTCGTTTTGCACAGTTTAACAGGTTAAAAGACACACACACACACACACGTGTGTCTTCTAATCAAGGATCGTGAAAGGCGAATTATTGTGTTCCAAGTATCGGCTAACCAGTCAACTCGTTTTGCACAGTTTAACAGGTTAAAAGGCACACACACACACACACGTGTGTCTTCTAATCAAGGATCGTGAAAGGCGAAAAAAAAGAGAGAGACGTAATCTCGCGTAAGGAACGATATCAACGACAGAGATTTCCATAGAAATTACCAGCAAAGTGTAGAGAGAAGTCCAAGCGAGTAAATGTGCGCGTCTGAACGGCTGAGCTCGCCGAGCAAACAAGTTTTTTTGCAAATCATTCACCGCATTATTGCAATTTACTCGTATCTAGCGGAGCACCGTGACAATGACTATCGTAGGCAAGGTCGGCCGATTCGAGACGCAAGACGTAGGGAAACACACACGTGGAAATAGAGAAGGGGCAATAGTGGCAAGGCCGTGGGACTGATAGAGTCGTAAGAAAAAGGAAAAGAAAAAAGTCACCGATTCTTATTCACACGTCGAATCGGTTCGGTTCTATTCGAAATTTTACACACGGGTACACAGAGGTTGACACGTCCGAGTCCGCATTCTCGAGCTAGGAAAATCGTGGAGGAACGGAACACGAATCCGGCTTATTTTTACGGTTAGACGAGAGTTTCAATCAGTCCACGTGAAAGTGTAACCGTGTAACCATGGTCTCGTCTTCTCCTTTCTTCTCTCTCTCTCTAATCGTTAATTCATTCCAAAAAGTTCTCACGTTCCTTCTTTCCCCGTCGACTCTTTGCTCGCCTGACTTTCGTGAGAAATTTCTCATGGTGCTTTCCCATCGAGAAGAAAAACGCGAAGAAACGGGACCTTGAGATCTACACGTTCACGAAGATCGATTCCTGTTACGAGGAAAGAGTAACCTGGCTTCTGCATCGAACGAAAAATATTTTCCTAAACATTCGAAGCATCTTTGCCTCGGTCAAATAAGAGAGACCGTGTGCGTTGTTTCGTCGACGACGCTCGTCGTCCAATCTTATCGATCATCCGCCAGCGAAACCAACCACGATAACGCTTTTGTCTCCGCGATCTTTAACAACGTTTTACGCGTCTCTCTCGACAGATGCAATTACCACCGATGCACTTTACACGCGATTGCTAGGAGAGAACGCGACACTCGTTCTGATAGTCGAGGATCGCCGCTAATAGACTAATCTTCGCGACCCATAAATTCTCGTTAACTCTTCCTAGAGGCGAGCGAGACAGGTCCAAAGTGTCGTTCCGTAAAAATAGAATCATCCTCGTTCACTTAGATTCTACTGTAACGTTTCCGATAGAAATCCTCCACAATGACACACTTATGCTTCCACTAAAGTTCTTAGCGTTTGTCAAGAAGCTACAGTTCAGAAAGATGCCAAATTCTATCTGGATGAGATCAAGATGAATTTGGAACATTCGTTCCAACTATACACACGTAGACGAAAGTTTGAGAAAGATAGTTCTGGCGATTAGGGGTTGTTCAAATGGTGTACTTACTTCATCACGCGGAAACCAAGTTGACCAAGTTCCTCGCTTCGTCCTCGACTTATTCTCGCCCGAGGAAACCCATCAAACAGTTAAGAACACTTCTGGCGCGGCATAACCGCGCGCGGAATTGCTATATATAGTGGCGCACACCTATGGCTTTGTCCGCGTGTCTTCAATAGAATTCATCGTGGACAATAGAGATGATACTTGTGTGTACGTGTTTGTTAAGATTGTGTATCAATGAAACGTCAGATTTCTCGACACTGGTGCTCCATGGAATTTCATGTGGCACCGTGTGTTTCAACGTTACGAGTCCTCCTTTTATCTAATCTCTCCAGCGTTTCAAGCCGGTCAGTATTTTTTCTAGGTCACACATTATTATATAAAAACTCTTCGATTGTCACTCGAACGAAATAGATTTTTCACGTTCGACGTTCTTCGACGTTCTTCTTGTGCGTGTTTCTTTCGATATTTTTTCGTCTCGCGAAACGATAACAGGGGTTGAAATGTGTGTACGTTTTTTTTCGGTTTACGAAGAATAACTCGAGTATGTATATATCAGGCGAATTCTTGGAATAACCGGGCACACGTGTCGCGTCGTCGAACTCGGTTCGTCCCCCGGTTAACTGATAATAACAAGCCGTGTTAGAAGTCGAAGCAGACGAACGGGCCACATACCGAATACAACGTTTACCGCGCGGCTGTTGGCGCAACACTGAACAACTGCGTATCGGTCATAACTAACGGCG